TTTCGCTCTTAAGATTTGGAGACACTACCTGTGTGGGGAAAAATTTTAGATTTATACGAACCATCAAAGTTTAAGGTACTTGTTCTCTCGGAAGGAACTGAACATGAGACAGCGCCGTTGGATGGAACTCCTTAAGGACTACGACTGTGATATTATGTATCACCCTGGAAAAGCTAATAAAGTAGCATATGCACTGAGCCGGAAATCGAGCATCGCGCATATGATGGTTAAGGAGTGGACTCTGTTGGACGGAGTTCGGGATTCGGAATTTAAGTTTGAAGTGAGTCATGTCTCGAGTCTACTTGCAACATTGAGGATTGAACCGGAAATACAGACTAAGATTAGGGCTTTACAATCGACGGACCCGGAGATTCAGAAGATTTTGGGTATGGATGCCACAAAAAGAAAATTGGATTTTCAGGTATCCGAGGATGGGATTCTGAAGTTCCGTGGACGGTTGTGTGTACCCAGTGATACAGAACTGAAGGAAAAGATTTTGTCTGAAGCACATCGTAACAATTACAGTATTCACCCGGGTAGTACGAAAATGTATCAGAACTTGCAACAACATTATTGGTGGAACGGCATGAAAGTGGATGTAGCCAAGCACGTGGCCAAGTGTAGTCGCAACATTGCAAGCCGGGTGGAATGTTGCAGCCATTGGAAATTCTCGAGTGGAAATGGGAACACATCACGATCGACTTTGTAATGGGATTACCGAGAAGTCAAAGGGGTCATGATTCGATTTGGGTGATATTCCACCGATTGACAAAATCAGCACATTTTCTGCCAGTGCGAAAGGACTTCGCCTTGGAAAGGTATGCCGCGATTTACGTGCGACAAATAGTCCGTCTGCATGGAGTGCCAGTGACAATCACTTCAGACCGTGATCCTAAATTTACTGCTGCCTTTTGGAAAAGTCTTCATACGACATTAGGAATGAAGTTACAGTTTAGCACGGCCTATCATCCCCAAATGGCTAGCCAGTCTGAAAGGACGATTCAGACCTTGGAAGACATGCTGGAGCATGTGTATTGGATTTTAAGGGTGGTTGGGAGGAATAGCTGCATTTGGTTGAATTTGCCTACAATAATAGTTACCAGCAGAGTATTAGAATGGCACCATTCGAAGCACTATATGGCAGAGCTTGCAGAACACCAGTTTGTTGGGATGAAGTTGGTGAGAGGAGCATCACGGGTCCCGAGTTGGTCCAGCAGTCAGTCGAAATGGTCAAGGTGATTAGGGACAAGCTTAAAACCGCTCAGAGCCGCCAAAAGAATTATGTGGACCGGAGACGTAGGCCTTTGGAATTTCAAGTAGGGGACCACGTTTACCTCAAGGTGTCGCCGATGAGAGGATTGTCACGGTTTGGTAAGAAAGGGAAGTTGAGCCTGAGGTACGTTGGTCCATTCGAGGTCTTAGAGAGAATTGGCACCTTGCCTTATCGTCTCGCGCTACCGCCAAATTTGTCTCAAGTGCATAACGTGTTCCATGTGTCTATGCTAAGGAAGTATGAACCGGACCCGACCCACGTGCTAAATTACGAAGAAATAGACGTGGACGACAGAGTGTCGTACATGGAAAAGCCAGTGCAGATCGAGGACAGAATGGAGAGAGTGTTGCGGAACAAGACAATTCCGATGGTCAAGGTGATTTGGGAGCACCATGAAACCGAAGGTGCGACGTGGGAAAGCGAAGAGCTGATGCGACACCAATACCCCCATTTATTTGAATAGTTGGGTTGGATTGTAAATTTCGAGGACTAAATTTTTATAAAGGGGGAAGAGTTGTGACATTCCGAATTTCGGCCCATTTTTGGGATTTATAAAACGGGTATTTCGTCAATGCGCTTATAATAAAATCTCGACCGGAACTGATCACTGTTGGGTTATTATTTTTAAATTAGAGATTTCGCTAGAATCGCACTCGATCGAATTTGGCCATTATTTAGAGCTCAAACTTTGGTGTCGAATTTCTCGGAGTTCCGGGTCGAATTTCTCGCCCGTGCGCCCCCATGCCCGTCGCTCGGCAACCGCGCATGTACGCCAGGCGCACTGTTCGGCCACCGCACCCGTGTTGGCCGGTCAGCGCGCCCGTTTGGCCCGCGCCCGTGCCTAGCCCAGCATTGTTCACCCGGTCCATTTTAGGCCCGAGCCGATTTTCTCCGGGCCAAAACCTAGTAAGTGACTTCCTAAACCCTTCTTAGTATAATAGGTAAGTTTAGACTTATTTAGGTTGTAATTAGTACCGGATTAGTGGATTAAAATTGGGTTATGGCCAATTTATAAATGTGATTAATTGGTGGAATGGATTGTGGTGATTTGTGGGATGTTTAGTGGCTAATTTATGTGGGTGCGATAATCGAATTGTTGTGGCGCTTGTGGGTGAAATTAACGTGTGATTGAGCCAACTTGAGTATCGGATTGGTGAGCTAGTATGATGAGCTCGTGATTGAATTGTGGGGCTTGTGTGCCTGTGAGGTCGGACTTGAGACGTGTTGACGGTGGTCCGTGAAAGGAAAGTCAGACTTGAGACGTGTTGACGGTGGTCCGTAAAAGGAAAGTTTGGCCTGAGATGTGTTGACGGCGGTCATTGGAATGGATTAAATTATGTGGCTTGGATGCCTGGGAGAACGGACTTAAGATGTGTTGACGGTGGTCCGTGAGAGGAAAATTTGACCTGAGGCGTGTTGACGCGGGTCGTGAGAAAGTTGATTGGACACGTGTGTGCAATGTGACTGGTTGGGTTGGCTGAATGCAAATGGGTATGGTGCCCGAGTGATTGTGATATGGTTGCGAACTATTGTTGCATTATCATGTTTGGACTAATATGCAAGATTGGCCCGTGGTTCGAGGCGAGGTAAGCATGTCGTGAGAAATTGATTGTGTTGGCTGGTGATTCGCATGTTAGACTTGTCTGGGTACGCATTGGCCTAGGTGGGGTATAGGTTGTCTGCTTATTGAGATTTATTCTCATTGCTGTAGTGCAAAATATTTTTTTCAGATCCCCGACCTTGATTATGTCGCCACCTAGGCGTTTTGGGGTTCCCATGCTTACGGTGCATGAGGAGAACGAGTACCCGAGACTGAACCCGGATGAGACATACATTATGCATCGTACCACGGTTTGGGTAGATGTGGGACTAGAGGAGCTGGAATGCCATACCTACTTGGCTTGGTCCCATCGGGTCGGGTTGGTGAATTCGGGGCCAATCCGAGGTTTTGAGGGGTTGCAGCATGCTAACGAGGGTGCGGTAAATTGGGAGCCCTGGGACAAGTTTACTCCCGATGGCGAGGTGTCAGATTCCGATAGTCCACCGGAGAACCCTGGCCCAGAACCGGCACTTGTTCTAAAGCCTGAACCTGAGCCCATACCGAAGCCCATGCCCGAGCCCGAAAAGGAGCCTATGGTGTCCGAGTATGAGGAGGAGGAGGAGGAGGAGCCGATCGAGATCGACTCGGACTTAGAGTCAAAACCCTCAAGGTCCGATTCGGATTGGGCGCCGTAGGGATTTTAGGAGTTGGGCCTGGAAATCTTTTTGGTAGAGTCCCTTTTTGTGTAGTCAGTAGTCTACCCGGCCACCTGTTCCTTTTTTATGACGAAGGTGGATATTAACCCTAGAGGCCTATTGTATGAATTTTTGGGATTTCAAGCTAATGTTATATGTTTACTGAATTGCGCTTGTCCTACCGCGTTGTCATTATTAATTGTCTGGGTTGTTTAAATTTCGCTTCCGCCTGCGTTCGACTTTGGGTGATTCATTTGGGGTCGGCGACGCGTCCTTGGACGTCGCGATCAATACGACCTCGTGGAAGGGGTGTCGCGAGCGTGACAAAGAATGAGTAGCAACACTTTATAGGTTTTCATGGAGCTTAGAGCATTAATCATGTCTCTGTTTGTTTTTGGGCAAAGAGAAATCGGCAAAGAATTGTTTTTTGTGTGCGGAGGAGGCATAATATATAAAGATTGGCAATAGATGGGATGATCCTCCACTTTGGAGTCGCCCTGTCCTGTAGAAAAAGCCCAAGTCGGTCAACCTCACAAATGCACGCAATTCAACATATTAAAGGAGTCCAGCAAAAGAGCCCCTCCTCCTCTCTCCGTTTAGGAGCTCCCCTCCCTATCCCAATGGTGATAGTTCTCCCCTCAAAACCTAATCCGGCCTTCCCCAGCTTTAATCCTTCTTTGTTTCCTCTCCCCGTGAGAAATCCCAATCTTCCCTTCCTCCCATAAATCCAGGAAGTCTAAAGATCCATCTTCGTCATGCCCTAATCCAAACCCGCCCATCGAGTCATCATTTTCCTTAGTGGCGTGGAATCCTCAAGCACATGCCATCTGTTTCTTCGTGAATGGCAGAATATTCCTCCTCCGAGGCGTAGGGTCGGGGTTCCTTTCGGTGGGTCGGGAAGAGCTGTTTCTCTACCGATTTAAACCCCAGCTTCACTAACCTTCACCCTTCACACTGAGTAACTTCCATCGCGACTCTAAAAGTTCAATCATCCCAAACTTCCTCATCCATCCTCCCCGTGCCCTGCTCAGCTTCTAGTATCAACTTTCGTACCAGAAGTAGATGAAGCTTTTAAACTACAGTGTAATCTTGGGGCAAGAAGGAGCAGAAGCCGTAAACTATAGCTGTTCAATCATATTTCCAGTTAAGTTGCCTTATTAAGGACAAATTTACAGCTGTTTATTTCAGTCGCTACTGTCTATAGAAGTACAACATTGTTGATCTCAGAGAAATGGGGATCAATTTGGAGTTCATGGTAAGTGCCATAATCGAACAGATAGTGTAGTGAGTTTCACATCGAACCTACTATGCTAAAGGAAGATGATAATGCAGCCGGTGGCGACCTGTAAAGAATCGGGAAATCTATGGTCGAAGATGACCTCGTGCGGTTAAATGGCGAAATCCCCGAGAAAAACAACAAGAATGTGCATTAACTTTATATGGGAAACTGTACTCAAAACCAAATGTGAATGTTCAAGCATTCATTAACACAATGAAGAAGTCGTGGAAAACAGACCAGTTAGAATGCAAGCTCATCGAGCCGGGGCTCTTCTCCTTTTCCTTCACTTCGATAGAGGAAAAAAACAGGGTACTGAATTCAGGTCCATGGTCCTTCTCGAGTAAGTTACTAGTTCTTCAACAAGGCGATCCGGATACTCCCGACCATTGCTACGAGTTCACACACTGTGCCTTTTGGGTTCAGTTGGCAGGTATTCCCCGTGGGAAGTTATCAGAAGATACAGTTAAGGAAATAGCAAGGAAGATTGGTGAAGTGGTAGAAGTGAAACTTGACTCAAGAGGAGGAGGCCCTAGTAGAAGCTGTAAAGTAAGAGTTCTTGTGAACCTTTCTAACCCCCTAAAGACAGGAACTATTGTAGACCTGAAGCATAAGAAGATCTGGGTGGACTTTAGATACGAAAGACTCCCGCATTTCTGCTACTCATGCTGGAGGATAGGGCATTATGCAACCTACTGCAAGGAAGTTCCCTTTGCGGAGTCGGGCCCCATTGTAAATGCAAGGAGCAAATTTGGGCAATGGCTGAGAGCGGAAGTTCAAGAACCCAGCCCCTTTTGGAAGATCTTTTACAGTACGTATAGTCCTTCTACGGAGGAAAACGAGGTCATCCCGGAAACACAAAGGGAACTTATTCCTAGAGAACCAGAGTTGACTACATCTAAGGGCAAGACAATTATTGGGCTGATTGAAGACTCTCCTCAGAAGGAGAGATTAACAGAAGGGACACAACCAGATTGCTTGAATGGGAAAGGTCAACTAGGTTCCATAATCCAAGACACCCAGTTAATTCGGTCAGGGTCTGCAATGAAAGATGGACAATCGAAGAAACCAAGGAGAGAGAAGATCAGCATGAAAGCCTTTAAGAAAGTGGCCACAACGAGGAAACAGAAAAAAATTGATCCTCAAGGGGTATGCGAGATTCTCTATCCCTCCATCAATGAAGGAACTCTCCTCGACGCTCCGATCAAGTTGGTTGATGGAAGAAATGATTGGGCTCTGGTGGCTAGCCCTAATAAGCCACCGGGGATTATATGAAACTTTTGAGCTGGAACTGCCAGGGGCTAGGCAATCCCCTGACAGTCCAGCATCTCAGAGCCTTAGTGGCTCAAGAAAGGCCTGACTTAGTCTTCCTGATGGAAACTAAAAACAAGAGACCGGTCGTCAACAGAGTGAAAAGAAGAACCAACTTCCAAAACATAGAGATAATAGACCCCGAAGGTATCGCCGGGGGTTTGGCTGTAATGTGGAACGGAGGGGTGACGGTGGTGGTGGAAGATTCCTCTAGAGAATTTATAGACATTTTGTGTAGAGATCAAGATAGTGGGACTCTCATGCGCATCACTTTCCTGTATGCTCCCACAAATTTCCAGGAAAGACTCAGGCTGTGGCAGCATCTACAGGTAATAAAGGCAGCTAATCACCTCCCTTGGATATGTGCTGGAGATTTTAACGAAATATTGTACCATTGGGAAAAATCAGGTGGTAATAGGGGGAGCACTACAGACTAGTTGCATTCCAAGACTGTTTAAATAGATGCTCACTAATGGATATCGAAAGCAAGGGATGCGCATTCACCTGGTCCAACAATAGGGGAGGAAATGCACTCGTGCGGGAAAGATTAGATAGAGTACTTTGCAACATAAATTGGAGAGTGAGGTTCCTAAATGCGGAAGCATTCGCTTTACCTGCTATAGGTTCTGATCATAGTCCCAATCTGCTGTCCCTCCAACCAAACAGGACTAAAAGGAAAAAAGTTTTTAAGTTTGAGGCGTATTGGCTGGCCGATGCGGAGTGCAAGGAGTTGGCGAAGGAAGCTTGGGGTGTACCGGAAGTCATCCCAATTTCGTTTGCTGGAAAATTGAAAAAGACCTCAGATGCTCTAGAGTTGTGGAGTAAAAACAAATTCTCCAATGCCCACAACAAGATCGAGTTCTTAAAAAGAAGACTCACGACCCTTACAAATGCAGGTAATGGTGGTTCCGACAGAAAAGAAATGCAGCAAATCAAAGTGCAAATCCAGAATCTGTGGAAACAAGAAGAGCAATATTGGGGCATGAGATCAAGAATTAATTGGATTAAGTGGGGAGACAAAAACACGAAATATTTCCACGCCGCCACGGTCCAAAGAAGACAAAGGAATAAAATTGCAATGTTGAAAATTGATGACACATGGTGCAGAGATCCCAACAACATAAACAAGCACATCGCCAGTTATTATGAATCCTTGTTCGAAACAGTGGGTACCAGGAACTTCAGCCCAATTCTAGACCAATGCTCTTTTCCAAGCCAACATGAGATGAATGAGGCATTGATGGCAGCGGTTACCGTAGAAGAGGTCAAACAAGCAGTGTTTCAGCTAGGAGCAACAAAAGCCCCAGGACCAGACGGGATGAATGGCCAGTTCTACCATCACCATTGGGAGGAACTACAACATGATCTACACAAGTCTTGTCAAGCAATTTCTTCCTATCAGGCTACCTCGATCCAGAACTCAACAAAACACACATTGTGATCATCCCTAAAGTCACCCATCTAGAAAGCATCACACAATTTAGACCCATTAGCCTATGCAATTTCAGCTACAAGATAATCTCAAAGGTGATGGCGAATCGCCTCAAACCCTGGCTTCCGAATCTAATTGCCACAGAACAGAGTGCCTTTGTGAGTGGGAGGTTGATTCAAGATAATATAATCATAGTCCAGGAGGTCCTACATCAACTAAGAATTCGGGAAAGGAAAAGGAAGTTTCAGGCGATCCTAAAGTTGGATATGCAAAAAGCTTACGACAGAGTGGAGTGGGACTTCCTTTGCGCTAGCATGGTGAAAATGGGTTTCTGCCAGGAGTGGGTGTCATTAGTGAAGCAATGTATTTCCTCAGTCACATTCAGTGTTAAAGTGAACGGTGAGCCTTTAAAGTACTTCCAACCAACACGGGGTATTAGACAAGGAGATCCACTATCTCCTTATTTGTTTATAATCACGGCAAATATGCTCTTGTCTCTACTAAGAAAGGCTGTTGAGGATGGGAGTCTGAAAGGCATCAAACTAAATAGGAACTGCCCAACGTTGTCACACTTACTTTTTGCTGATGACGCTATTTTCTTCCTGGATGGGACAATAGGGGAATGCTAAAATCTGGCAAACATCTTAAACCAATACTGCTTCGCTTCAGGACAAGCAATAAATCTAAACAAATCCAGAATCTTTTATAGTGCTGGCTGCCCTCAAAACCTCAAAAGAAATTTGGCGGATGAACTAAGAGTTCCAATTATGGAGAAAACCGGGAAATATCTGGGCATCCCATCAGATTGGGGACAAACAAAAAAACAGATGTTCGCGTGGATATTGGCAAGGGTAAATATGAAGTTGGAAGGCTGGAAGGAAAAACTGCTCTCAAAGGCGGGTAAGGAGATTCTAATCAAAACAATGGTACAATCACTTCCCCAATATGCAATGTCTATTTTCAAAATCCCAATCTCAGTGTGCAAAGCGATTGAACAGAAAATAGCTTCCTTTTGGTGGAAACAGAATTCATAAAAATCGGGCATCCACTGGAAAAAATGGGAACTCCTTAAAGAAAGGGAAATAGATGGGGGATTGGGCTTCAAGGACTTAGTTACCTTCAACAAGGCTATGCTAGGAAAGCAAGCGTGGAGACTAGCGCATAATCCAACTGCGTTGTGGTGCCAACTACTAAAAGGCATTTATTTCCCAAACAGAAGTTTTTGGAAAGCAACTAAGGGCTCCAGGCCCTCATGGGGGTGGCAAAGTATATTAATGGGAAGGGATACCATATGCCTTGATGTGAGATGGCATGTCGGCAATGGCGAGAGCATCAACATAAGAGAGGACAAATGGTTGGAAAGGAGAGTCATAGGAGGTCCAGCAAACAGGGAGGACCCACAGAAAGTCGTAGAACTGATAGATCAAGAGACAAAAATGTGGGGTGTTAATCAGCTAACAAGACTGTTTCCGGAGGAGATTGTGTCCGAAATCCAGGCCATAAAGATCAATCCTATCCAGGACACCGATAGACAAATATGGAATGGAGCTACAACAGGAGAATATTCGGTAAAACACGGTTATTCCAGACTTCGAGCAATTCCTTCCAAGCAAAATACAGAACTCGCGTCATCCTCTTACCAGCAGCCCCGCTCACTTTGGATAAAGATATGGAAATTACGCACAGAACCAAAAATTCGATTTTTCATATGGTGTGTGTAGTAATGCTCTGCCAACTTCGGAAAATCTATATAAAAGAAGGGCCTTACCTGACCCACTTTGTCCAATTTGCCGAAAACATCCCGAGACGATGGAGCACATCTTCACCCTCTGTGACTGGACCAACAACATATGGTCAGACCCGAGAATCCAGATGGACGTATCACCCATAAATCTAACAAGGATGGACAAATGGATCGACGAAGCACTCACCAAAAGCTCAGCACAATCAGGTCAGGAAATGCTTGCAGGAGTCCTCTGGCAAATTTGGAAGGCAAGGAACGCATGGGTATTCAATCAAATTAGTCCAAGCTCCGGAACAATTGTGGAAGAAGCTGTTTTTCTAAACAGGAACTATCGGGAGCAAAACTTACCTGAATCGAGGAGTTGGACGGCCAAAGCTAAGACAGAACGCCGGACGCCCCCAGAACCTGGAATTCTGAAATTCAACGTCGATGGGTCTTGGATCGAAGGGAAAACAGAGGGATCGGTGGCTGGGATATGCAGAGATTACAGAGGAGTGATTATTGTGGGGTTCGCCAAAACTGTGTCTGCTTCCTCTCCGCTGGAAACTGAAGGCAACGCTGTAAAAGAAGCTCTTCTCTGTCTGCGGGCAGAGACAACGAAGAAGAAGGAAATAATAGCAGAGAAGATTTGCTTACAATCAGACAATGAAGCCTTAGTAATTCTCACTTATAATCCGAAAGAAAGCCCATGGGCCTTGAGAAGCCTTTTTGTTGATTGTAATGTACTGCTTTCCCAATTAAAGGAGGTTTCCCTGGTCCACTGTCCACGAAACAAAGAATCAAGCAAAGAGACGGATAGCCAAAAATCATCGAAAGGATTTCTACCATCCAACCGGATGTCTAGACCACCCCTACCTCTATGGGATTTATTTTGTATTGACTCTAGTCATATTCTCTCTTGTGATACGTTTCCTAGTGTTTGAATAGAAAGTAATACTTCGACCAAAAAAAAAAAAAGGAGTCCAGCGCACTCACTGGGACATGTACACGGCTGGCCAACGCAAAAATGCAGTGCATCTAGAAAAGTTACACCCATCAATAATTCAAAAGATCATTATTCCCATTTGATCGTACTTTCTCCACTATCTCCACTTTTCTTCCACTCTCTCGACGTTATTTTTTGGGTCGACATCCCATCAACAAACAGGTCCATCTCCCAAATCACTTCCTTTTAATACACAATCTTTCGCCTTAAGTTGCATTTATTTCACGAAAAATTAATACTTTAAAAAATATATTTTTAAAAATAATAACTCGTATCGCTTGAAATAATTAAATAATAAAAAATATTTTTATTATCGATAATAGTTTATATTTAAATATTTTCGTGAACGACAAAAATATTTTTAGTCCATTCATTTTTATAAGTAATACAATTGATCGTTTTTAGGAATATATTTTCCAAATTATTTATTTTTCACAAAACAAACGATATCTTATTTTTTTCGTTTTTTTCCCTCATCCCTTCTTCTTCTCCATCTTCTTTCTTTATCATACAAGTCACAATTGTGAGAATATGTTGAGTTTAAGCCCATAAAACTCGACCCAAACCGAAGTGTTGGAAAATCTGGCCGTAAAAAGAAAGTCCAAATTGGAATTTGTGGCCGCCTTCTTCAAGACTGAATTCTTTTGCACTTTTGAGTCCTAAGTGGAGTTGGTCTTAAATAGGAAAGCTGTTGCTGATTTTTATACAAAAGATTCTGGAATTCAGATATCGAGCAAAGTAAGATACGTGAGTTTCCTTCTACGAGTTGGAGTCGGTTATCAACGTTTCCATCTAGGAGTCAGAGAGATATTTGTTTACACGCCCCAAATATATAATTGTTTATTTTGTCTTGCATGAGGGCGTGAAGCAGAAGGTATTAGTGACAGGACATCTATTGGTTTGGATTGAATTCTTTGAGATTTTCATCATGGTGCCGCAGAGTCTTCTCGTCAATTACATCTTGGCACATGGGTTGACGCCAATTAAATCTTATGATAAGATTTGTATAATTCATTGTAAGATTAAGAGATTATTTCGTGAGAAACTGTAAAGCTAAACACTGTGAGAGTTATTGTATATAATTGGGGATTGGGAAAACACTAAGAGCATTTGAGTGACTCAAGTGTGGTTGTAATCTCTTTTGTATCGCTTAATCTATAGTGAAATTATTCTCTGCTCTCTTTGTAGACATAAATCGCATGATCGAATTACGTAAATTTAGTGTTGGATTACCTTTCTTGTTCCGTCTACTTTATTGTTCGATCGCTTGCTTTGCGCAACAACAATCATAGAAAAGTTGATGTCTAGTTTTGAGAAACAAGATCAACAATAAAAACTGTCTAGCCTCAAAACTTCTTCTCCATCTTCTTTGAATGTTTTTTGTTCGACTGTCAGCACTTAATCACTTGATATGTACCCCATAGTTGCTAAATTGAGTCAAAAACTTCAGAAGTAACTCAACTTTTTACATGATCGAATCATTTCATGAAGAAAATAATCACTAGAAGAAAAGCATTTTATGTGACAGTGATACATTGCACAACGTCATCGTCGATGTAGCTATGGTCGACTTAGTTGCTTAAGTGTAAATTTAGCTATGCAGTATAGCTATATAAAAAAAAGGTATACATGTGGGGACAATTACAAGCAATAGTGGGCTCTAATGGCTTTTTAAATCACATAGGTTGCGTTTGGTAGTCAGGATAAAATTCAGGATATGATAACATTTATCCCATCCTGTATTTGGTTCCTACTCAAGATAGGAAAAAGTCAAATATAAATGGGGTATAGCCTGGATAAAATTATCCCAGGAGAGAGGTGGAATAAAGGTGAATAGGATTTCTCATGTTTATGGAATAAAAGCTATTTTTCTTGAAACAAACTTGTTAAATAATAAAAATAAATTAATATTTAAATATAAAAAAATTAGTTATAATATTGAAAAGATAATTTAGAATAACAAAAAAATAATTTTCGTTTTTATATATTCCTATATTATTTATATAATTGAATTTCTTTCTACTTTATAATATATATTTTTAATACCTATATTATTACATATTTTATGTATAATAGTATAGTTTATAAGTCGATAAAATTTTTATAAAGGACTGATGGAAGGGAATAAAAAAATAAAAAAAGAGATGGAAAAATAAAAAAAAATTGAGTTAGTAAAAATGAGGTAGAATAACCCAAATTTTAATAAACAAATTCAAATTTGAAAAGAATCTTTCTAATTCTCGAAACTCTCTATAATTTTGTGGTTCATGTTGAAGTTTCACAAAAGTAGCGAAGGAGTCCAAACACTATACTTTTCGCAATCACAAAAGTGAATGATCATAGTTTTATTCTCTTACTAGATTTGACAGTAAATTATGAGAGATTTTTACAATATTCGTTTGTGCATTTCCAAATTTATTTATATTGATATGTCGCAAAATAACAAACAATAGACGTGATAAAATATAAAAATATCCGGCTTTATTATAGCAATTCACCAAACAGTTGATAGGATATGGCAAAATCCTTGAATTTCATAACCTATCATATCCAATCCTATCATGACTAAAAATCCAAACGACCAAACGCAGCCATAGAGTATTTGCATTTTCTTTATTGAAAATTGTCTCACCATAATGATTGACGAGGCACGATGGGGGGATATCATTATTAGTTAGTATCTCAAGAAAGAAATCTCATGATCGATATTTATTTTGGGTGGAAATTGCCATCACAGTTGGTCTAACGAGAAGAGACCATGAACAGTTGGTCTGGTGACGTGAGATAGAGATCACAGGTGATGCAATCCCAAGTTATCAGTTGATGATGGTTGTTGTGCATAGTTGCTGGTGCATTGTAATGACTTGGAGATTCAAATTGAAATAAGTTGATGTAGAAGGAAACTTGAATTAAGCGGGAGTAAACCTAACACTAAGCTCACATGTGAAGGGGAGATTGTTAGGATGCAAGTGCGAGTTGTATTAGAGAAGTCCCACATTGGAGAATTATTGTGATATTGAGCAGTTAATCCTAATTGGCCCATAACTCATTAGCTTAAGTTTTTGAATAAATGTGGGTCTAGCTGGATATGTTAATGGGCTCGGGCTTGAGCTCACCCTTGGCGCTCCCAACAGTTTGAGTAGTCGAGCTTGGGCTACATCACGATTACTCGGCTCGACATTGCTAATAATCGCTTGCAACAGAACAAGAATGAGTAGCAACACTTGATAGATATTCATGAGCTGTGAACATTGATCATGTCTCTTTTTGTTTTTGGGCAAAGAGAAACTGGCAAAGCTTGGTGTGTGCGGAGGGGGCACAATATATAATGATTGAGAAAAGATTAGGTAATCCTTTCTTCCCCAATGAAACGGTGTTTGAGCGGCTTGGCATTCTGCCCTATCGCTTAATCAATGAGATACACCGGCAGCATTCATGGGTCATTCGCTCAACCATCCCTTGGAGACTCGGAGTCGCCTTGTCCTGTAAAAAAGACCAAGTCAGTCAACGTAACTAATGCATGCATGTCAGGAAATTAAAGGGGTGGACCCAAACCGAAATTCCCTTATTAGTGGAGTCCTGGGCAAGGGCCGGTGGCCAACCCTAATTAAGACCCCCTTTGATCTTTCTTCGCATTTGACCTTTCTTTATCCCCTATCTCCACTCTCCACATGATTGTTGGGTACACATCCTACCAACAAACAAATCCATCTCTCTCTCTCAATTTCATATTTTGTTATTGGAATCGAGATATATACTTGTTATTTTCTTTCAATGGTAAAAATTCCCACGTGGATGCCACGTACTCAATTTACGGTATTTTAGCGGTCAAATGATCTGATTAGGTGAGGTTTTTTCACCAAATTAACTAGGTCAAGTTTATTTTAAGAGCCGTGTTTTCAAAACATTCTCCTATGAGTCCATCAATAGTGGTTGGTTACATGCTTGAAGGTGACTCACATGTAGGAGTGTTTGTGGATCACTACAAAAAAACTGGATTTTTGCCACGAAAATTTGCGACGAAAAAATTTTCGTTGCAAATTTGCGACAAATTTTCCAACTAAAAGTAAAATTCGTTGGAAATTTCCAACGAACTATATTTCGTCGCAAAATTCGTTGGAAATTTCCAACGAAAAAATTTTCATTGGAAAATTAGTTGGAAATTTCCAACGAAAATAAATTGTTGGAAAATTCGTGTAAATTTCCAACGAATTTTTTCCGTTGGAAATTTCCAACGAATTTTCCAACGAATTACAAAAACTCAGATCGTTCGGCATTTTTATATTCGTTGGAAAATTTGTTGGAAATTTCCAACGAATTTTCCAACGAATTTCAATTTTCCGGGCAATTATTTCAGTTTGTGGAATTTTCGTTGGAAAATTCGTTGGAAATTTCCAACGAATTTTCCAACGAATTTCAATTTTCGGGCAATTATTTCATTGTATACAATTTTCGTTGGAAAATTCGTTGGTAATTTCCAACGAATTTTTTTTCGTTGGAAATTTCCAACAAATTTTCCAACGAACTCCAAAAAACCGTGTACCGTTC